TTCCTCATGAAAAAACAAAACAAAATTTTCAGAAAAACTAAACAAAAATTATGAAAAGATGATTGGAAAATGTGTGCAGAAATGTTTGATAAAATATTTTTATGCATGCGCCAACACAATCGGCGGACTATAATAGAAAAATTAGTGCAACAGTAAATAATTCAAACAATCCAACATGATTTACACCAAAATTAAATAAAATCAAATGGTTGTTTATACTAAAATTTAATAATGGTCATGTACTTAAAGAAAAGAAATGTCCTTGAAATTTTTTTTTTTATAAAAATAATCTATATGCAAATTCAAATAACTAAATATACATATTTAATTTTATTTATATATAGATATTACATTTTATTGATATGTAACCACAAATAAAATAATACTTTTCTACTAACTATTTAGTATTACTAATTTATTTTTTAAAAAATAAAAATAAAAACATTTATACAAATAATATAATAAATATACATAATTAAAGAAAAAGGAAAAAGTTTATGTTATAAAAATATTTCTGTATTTTTAATAACTGATTTAACAAGAAAAGGTACTGCATAAGTGCATAGTTTTTGTTATAAAAAAAAGTTGGCAATAAATTATAGTACTGTAACGAAATTAAGAATAATGAAGCAACCGCAACAAAACATATGATTGGACCAAAGAGTATGAAGGGACAAAATAAACGCTTTGATTCTAAGAGGAGACTCTAAAGAGAAGACTACTGTGTCTATATAAAGGAAACATATGTTCTAAGTGTAAAAAAACATATGATTGGACCAAAAATATAATACTGTGTTTATAATGGAGTAGTTAAGTTTACATGTCTATATAAAGACACATCATCATATCAATTTTGTGAAATAAAACATTATTGAAGCAAAAACTTTTCTCTCTATGCTCTATGTTCTTCCTCTATGTGTGTGTCAGAGAGATTTTTTTTAAAATTTATTTAAAATTTTAGTTACCTATCTGCTATATATACATAGAGTGATATATCACTTTCATCCTTCTCTACTTTTATAGTTGGCTAAATAATTTTCTTGTCATCTACTTCTTATTTTGTATCTCTTATTTTTTATCCCTTATTTTTACTTTCTTTGCACACTTTAGATTTTATAATTACTGTTATCCTATGTTATAATTATGTTAGGTTTAATTAGTTTTTATGTGTAATTATTTTATTTATTTAATTTTATATTATAAATAGGAGAGTTTGTTTGTACTGAAAATATATAATGAACACATAAATATTATTTATATTTTTTTAAAGTTTTTCTATGGTATTACATAGTTTATGCTTTTTAACCTCTTTCTCTTTCTGAGTTTATTTTTTCAAAAGCAATCTTTCTGCTGCTTTTGCTTGCTAATAGGGGGAATTCTTTCACTGTCAAGAAATTGTAATTGGTGGGAATCTCTGCTTGTATTTGTGTTCTTGTTGATTAAATCTTATTATGCTACAATGGAGAAATATATGGTTATTCGCCCAATTCCCATAATTCTCGATGGCTCCAATTATAATCAATGGACTGAAGCAATAAGCGAATTCTTGAAAGGCCGTCTACTTTGGCGGTACGTGACAGGCGATAAAAAGTGTCCGATGAGAAGTTTCGATGAAACTTTAGAGACTTTTATCAATAAATATGAGGAATGGGACAACACGAATCATTTAATCATTACTTGGTTTCGAAATACCTCTATTCCGAGTATTCATCTACAATTTTGGCGATTCAAGAATGCCAAAGAGGTATGGGATCATTTAAAACAACGTTATACTATCTCTAATTTATCCCATCAATATCAGTTATTGAAGGATCTTAGTAATTTGAAACAACAATATGGTCAACCTATTTATGAGTTTTTACCACAGATGGAAGTTATTTGGAATAAGTTGGCCTCATGTGAGCCTTCTTTAAAATATGCCACTGACCTAAAATCATATGAGACTCACCGCAATCGTATTCGCCTTATTCAGTTTCTGATGGCTCTCACTGATGATTATGAATCAGTTCGAGTTTTCTTGTTGAACCAAAACCCTTTGCCTACACTAGAGAATGCTCTTCCTTGTCTCAAGTATGAAGAAACTAGATTAGGACTTGTTCACCAACAAGTTGATCATGCCTTCTAATGACAGTCTATCATCATGTAATTTTTACAAGCATTTGCAATTATTTTTATTAGTTTTTGATTATTTATGTTTGAATTTTATGAAGAAATAGGAAAAAAGTAAAGAAGTGAATAAACAGAGTAAAAATATAAAAAAAGTGGAGAAATCGTAAAGAAAATAGCATAATTGAGCTTAATATATAACGTGACATCACTATGCCAGGCAGCACCTATTTAACCAACACTTATTTATAAAAAAGTATTGTTAAACAAGATGAAAGAATGTTAGGAAATGTTTTTTATAGTGTTTTTGAAAATAAACGATGGCTAAAGTATCTATATAATTAGACAGCTCTATATTGTATAAAAAAAGGGTGGAAAACGGGTATGCCCGCCCTAGAAAAAAACGGTATGAGGAAAGGCGGACATAGTTGAGGATATGAGTCTAAAACCTACTTGCTTCGCACTAGAGTGAGGGCAGACTGAGAATTAATCCCGCAGGCACAACACCTTTTATTTCTAAAAAGGCAAAAATTTATATAAATACACGTGTTTGGAAAAATCTGTGTAGAAAATGGAGTGGGACGGGACGGACACATTAGAGAGTGAGGGTCTAAATCTTTAATCCACCCTACGTAAAGTTCGAACAAAATAAGTATGTCCAACGGACCAGGTCCATTTTACTACTCCTATACATAAGTGATGCTGTATGTGTTAAGAAAAAAAAGATAAATTAAAAATATATATAATAGTTTGTGCTTTTCTTTAGATAACGTTCAAAATATAAAAATGTTGCCTTAAATCGTAAATCAGTTTGCACTTATTATTTAAGAAAATTGTTCGATGTAGTTAAAATTGAGTTTTTAAAATTGTTCGATGTAGTTTATAATATGATCGAACGCATGATCTTAAATTACGGTATGATGTTGTTGCGAAAACTACTGCATCTCCAATATTGAATTTGTTAACACAATATTTATGTTAACGAACAGACGACGGAGTAATGATGTATGAAAGATTAGGAAACATAATGTTTGACAATTATTGAAAAAGGAGAAGACAAGCACACGTCAAAAAGCACTCATTACTTTTTCTTTTCGACAGAGAAAGTAATTTTTTTAACAAGCAAACGTTTTATTAAAACTCACACATAACATATGCCAAAACAAACATTACAACAATGTCCAACCAAGACTATAATGAAACCACCATAACAGACAGTGTGTTATAACACTTGAACATAAGCCATAAAAACACACTCAAGCTAACAGGCATATGATCATTGCATAAACAAGACCTAATTCTATCATAATCATTCTGTTTCAATGCTTCAAAAAGAGTTGCACTGAGAAATACCTAAATCTCCATCCATCGTGACTAGTACTGTAACACCCCTTTTCTATATCCCCAAATAATCAATTAATCATTTAGGCACATATTAAAAATTTCATCAGAGTATAATTATAAACATGGTATAAAAGAGGTATGTCACATTATACATGAAATTAAAACATTCAACATCTGCTCAACAAAAGATATGCAACAGTGGGGTAACTTTGCAACAAAGGAACTTAGTCCTTACACCCACATCTCAATTTTTAGAATAAAAGCGGCAAATCTAAACATTGAATAACATCAAACATATAAACATATATACATCATCCAGTATGATCCACCAACATAATAAATGTTTTCATAAACATTTACTAACAAGATACATGTACAATTGTATCACAAAAGAATCATATACATCCTAGCTACCCGGTTCTACATATCAGAGCCGACCGACCAAAAGAATGAAGACACGCTTCACAAAAAGACCTCCAGCCAACCTACTCTCACTACAAGAAAAAAGGAGATTTACGACACTTGAGTTGCGACAGTTATCACAAAACCGTCCTTATTCTTGGATTGTGACGGTTGTCACGATAGTTAGGGTCAACTATCGTAGATTTTTTGCGACAGTTATCAAAAAACCGTCCTTATTCTTGAACTACGACAGTTCTCACGACGGTTTGAGGCAACCGTGCAAATTTTTTAGGCATGTTGTATACAATAATGCGACAGTAACCAAAGAACCGTCATCTTTCCACACTCGCGACAATTAAGACGAACTGTCGCAATTACTTTAACCAATCATAATCATCATTTTTTTTATTCCTTTAATTTTTCACTTTTTTCTTTCATTTTTATTTTCTAACCTTTTCAATTTTATTAATTAATTTAATAAATTATTATTATAATTATTATAATTTTTATTATAATGTAGTTTAATATTTTTGTCTAAAATAATAGTAAAATATTTTCTATTATATTATATAAATAGTATTTTTTATTAAAATTAATTTTGATAACAATGTTGATATATATATATATATATATATATATATATATATATATATATATATATATATATATATATATATATATATATATATATATATATATATATATATATATATATATATATATATATATATATATATATATATATATATATATATATATATATATATATATATATATATATATATATATATATATATATATATATATATATATATATTAACATTTCAAACTCTCTCTCAATCACGTCCTTCTCTGTCCCCTTCTCCTTACTTTCTCAACCGCGTAAATACGCCACCGCGGCTGCCGTTGCATCTCCCGCTCCTCCTCCAGTTAGGAAAGTTAGCGGCGGTGATGGAAAGATTACTGATGAGCATATAGGGGAAGGTGCCATTGGACATATTTGTGCAATCATTGGTGCTGTAGTGGATGTGAGATTCGAAGATGGAGTGCCTCCGATCCTTACCGCGCTTGAGGTTCTTGAAGGCTCGCAACGGATTGTGTTGTAGGTTGCTCAACATTTAGGTCAGGGCATTGTTAGAACAATTGCTATGGAGACTACTGAAGGTGTTGTTAGAGGATGGTGTGTGCTCAATACCGGCTCTCCCATCAGTGTAAATTCTCAATCACTTGCTTCTATTTATTGCTATTTCAGAGATTGAAGAAGTGTAATTATTTGTCACTAACTTTTACTTTATTCTTGTTTTTTGTTTAGATTCCCGTTGGCAAGGCCACCCTTGGACGCATCATGAATGTTATCGGAGAACCTATCGACCACAAAGGCGAATTTAGTAAGCAACCACTAAATCTTTCATAAGTCCGAAGTTTTCTATGGCACAGTTTGTTTGGAAAATTTTCAACTGATGATAAGCTTTTGTGAATTATATTAGAAACCGAGCATTATTTGCTCATTCATAGAGAGGCTCTTGCTTTTGTTGAGCAAGCAACTGAGAACTATATCTAAGTTAATTCTAACTTTTTCCCCAATTATAGTAGTTTCCTATATCTGAGAACTACTTTTTCCCCAAATAGTAGTTTACTATCCAACTGTTTTCTTCACTAAGTTCTGGTTACTGTCGTATGATTTGATAGCTTTGAATGAGACTGGAACGGAACTATCACTTAATCTGGATGTTGATCCTATTAGAAAGGAATGACATTTATGCCTGCATATTGATTGGTCCTTCCAGGTTCAGCGTAGTTACGGAAGCATGATTGAAGTCGAGGATGATGAACTTAAGGTATGCTATTCTCTAAACTTGTCAAATTATACTTTATCCATTCTTAAATGTTGGATCCCGTTGACTATATTACAGATATCAAGATTAGTTTTGTTAAGAATTAACATTGTTTTAATAAATAAACAATGTATGGATAATATTTTTCTAGGGTCTTCCTTTTCTAATTACTGTTTTATCATTTCCTTGAGTGAGGCAGATGCACTCTGTAGTTACTTTCTAAGTTTGTCTACTTCCACAAATCATGCTGCTCCTTAATTATTTTTATATGAAATATGCAATTTCCCCCAGATTAATAAATCATATGCAGGGAATAAGACAAAAAGTATGTTGATATTGCAATGAAGTATTTAACCTATGCTCTATTTCTCCTCACTGTTGTTGGCTTTGCTGCTTACTCACTAAGGACTCTTTACCGGTGTTGTATATCCAAAAACATGACAATGTCGAAGATGATCTATATGATCTTTGCCTGATACGGATTTAACCACAATGTCGTCAATATATATCTGCATAAACGATTCTATATAGTCATGGAAGATTGAATTCATTGCTCGTTGGTACGTTGCCCCAGCATTTTTCAGGCCAAAAGGCATTACTACCCATTCGTAGGTGCCTATGGCCCCTAGACAACGAAACGCTGTTTTGGGAACATCATCCTCGGCAATAAAGATTTGGTTATATCCAGAATAACCATCTAACATACTAATATATTCGTGGATGGAGGCTGAATCAACTAGCATTTCTGCCACTGGCATCGAATACTCATCCTTAGGAGTTGCTGAGTTTAAGTCCCTAAAGTCTATGCAGACTCACAAGGAACCATTTTTCTTAATAACTGGCACAACATTAGCAAGCCATTCAACATACCTGGTTGTGCGAATGAATTTGCACCGCAGAAGTCTTTCGATTTTCGCTTTTATTTTTGACAAAACCTCTGGAGCAAAACGCCTTGGGCTCTGTTTGACTGGTTTCTTGCCAGGCTTGATTGGCAGTCTATGTTCCACCAACTCTCTTTTCAATCCTGGCATTTCATCATAATCCCAGGCAAAACATTCTCTGTATTCTCGCAAAAGCTGGATGACTTCCCCTTTGAATCGAGTGTCGAGGTTGGCACTAATGTAAGTGGGCCTTTTTATAATGTCGTCTCCTAAGTCCACTTCCTCTAGCGAGTCCTGCGCAAGCATTTTGGCATCCTCTGTCAAGGGATCTTTCTCGAAACTCAAAGGCTCGTCGTCATAGATAGCATCAAGCCTTTCGTTTTCTTGATGGGTTTCATCAGATAGTTCCATGTCGAAGCCTTCCTTGTAGCTTCTCTGAAGAACTTCTTTATTGGCCTCTGTGGCCATTTTGCTTCTAACAGCCTCTAGGGCCGTTTGTAGTCTAGTTTCGGCCATATAAGCCGAAATCCTTCGAAGCGCATTGGCTTCAGTCATTATTACTGAAATCACTCCTCCATCCAGTGGGGTCCACCGGCAAGGTTCCAAGGTATGGAAGCCTTTCTCCTGACACTTCTCTGTCCCAACGGAAACCGTCTACAGGATGTAAGTATAACGAGCCAAGACTTCGTCGTCTGGCTTGAAATCGAAGTCTGCTGGTCCACAAGGACCTATACCAGCCAAGTGTTTGTCGAAGTGCCTTTGATCGACATAGTTGATGGGCGCCCTAAAGTACCCTTGATCAGCTTCAATATTCTCTACGATGTCGTCTGGCCTCCAAATTGCAATCCTTTGATGCATCGAGGATGGCACTGCCCCCACGCCATGAATCCACTCACGTCCAAGTAACAGGTTGTAATTGGCTGTAGTTTCTACAACCATGAATACCGTTGGCCGCGTTACTGTTCCGACAGTGATATCTACCTGGATTACTCCCCTGGTCGAGCCTACCTTACCTTCGTAGTTGGACAGGACCATGTTGTGTGGCTTGGTGTCGGCATCGCTTTTCCCGATTTTGTTTAATAGAAGATGTGGCATCAAATTTACCGTTGCGCCACAGTCCACCAGAATTTTGTTAACTGGGGTGTTTTCCACTTTAGCCGTAATGTAAAGTGGCTTCAAATGGTTCCTCATCTCCTCAGTGGGCCGTTCGAAGAAAGCATTATGCTCTTCAACACAGCCGTTGTTCATCACATAATAGCAGACGAGTTTGTATGCTGCCATTTCGCAGTCTGCGTCTGTGTCGCAGTTTTCGATCACAGACAATCTGTCATATTCTTTCGGCATCACTGACACTATGTTCACCAACAAATTTAGCGAATCATCAGAATCTGAGTCGAAGTTGTCTGTCATCTCGTCATCGACCCCAGTGATCTCTTTCTGATTTTTAACCTGGTTTGAGAACAACTTCCTGCCCACCGGTGGTTGTGTGGTTTTGCTGATCGTTTTTTACGGTTCTCTCTGATTCTCTGTTGGGAGATTAGTACTAGATTCAGCCTTGTCCTTCGACGCCGTTTCTCTAAGAGCTTTTCTTTTCCGTTGTTCCCGCCTCCACTGCGATCGAGACATAGGGTTTTTTCCTTTATAATTCTCGGATACATGGGCCATCTTCGAAGACTGGAATTCTTTTCAATAGGTAACTGAGGAACCCCTATTCACTTAGAAATTCTTCCATCTTTATTCGCCTTGTCGCTTATCCTTGTTGGGTTTTGTCCACCTACCATCAGTGTTTCCAACAACGGGTTTGAAACTAGCAGGCCTTGTTTTGGGTCCTCTAATGTGGGGTTCATACCTTTTCAGCAAACTGCTTTCTTTATCGAACTCAGGCATTCTCCCACTTTGCTTGAGCCTTCGTGTTCCCTCAAGTCTCTGGGCAGCTTTTTTGTCGAAGATTGCGCTGCATCGTGGGCATAACATCACGCTAGAACCTTTTCCCTGGCATTTGTGAAGAAAATCCACAATTTTTTCCTCTTGCTTCGGGTATGCCTCCTTAGTGATTTCTTCTTGATTGTTCGACTCACTGTCCCCCTCACCTTCTTTTCGGGTGACTTCCATCATGTTGATCTCAACCTCCTCGGCCAAATTCAAACCCTTTAAGTTTAGACCTAAACCTTCAGTAGCCTGGTCCATTTCGATGAAGTTATCACCCATCTCCTTGGTCACCATCTCCCATTTTGGATTGTCCGCTACCCCGTCGGCGTTAGTAGTATCCATCTCCTCTTCACTGCCTCGATCAAAGCTCATTATGACCTTTGTCATCACAGCATTCTTGACGAAGTCATCAATAACTTCTATCATGCTTTCTGAGAAGTTGCGGCCTTCAGTGACCTCGACCATGTTGGCTTCTAAAGGCTCTGTGTAGTGAGCGTCCATCACCTGTAGAGGGTCCGTGTCGACCTTCATTTGGCTGGTGGTTTTCTCCCCAAACTTCAGTCTTCCCTCCTGGATTGCATTCTGAACAAGATCCCTGAAAAGAAAACATTGATATGTTTTATGACCCAGAAAGTTATGGTACTTACAAAAACCTCTCTTTTTTCGTTGCTCTAGTGATGGCAATTTAGCGCTAGGTGGCACTATCATTTGTCCATCTTTTACCAACAGATCGAAAATTTCATCACACTTGGTGATGTCGAAGGTATATGTCTTCTTTGGGAATCTATCATTCCTTTCTGATTCGACAACACTCTTCCCCTGTGGGGGTGCTAATACTTTACAAGAATAAGGGGGGCCTTGTTTAAGTTCGGCGAGGTCTACTTTATTTTCGTCGAGATTCAAAGAATCCTCGCATGTCCTTTCGATATTATCATCAATTTCGACAAAGGCCACTTTCCTGCTCTTGTTAAGCCTAGTTTTCTCGTCTTTCAAACGTTCGAGTTGTCGAACTCTATCGGCCAATTGTGCCATATCTCTTAGGTATTGGGTATCTAACTTCTTGCGAATGGAATAATCAAGGCCTCTAGCGGCCATTTCGACAAGTTCGTGTTCCGGCACTTGCATAAAACACCTGGCCTTGAGTAATCGAAACCTATTAAGGTATTCCTCGATTGATTCCGAAAACTTACGTTTTACGCTAGCTAGTTCTTTCAAACTAATTTTGGTCTGGCCCATGTAAAACTGCTCGTGAAACAAGCGTTCAAGTTGGGCCCAACTACATATGGTGTTAGGTGCTAGCGTCGTGAACCAAGTGAAAGCATTTTTTGTGAGGGAACTTGGGAAGTATTTTATCCTAAGGCTCTCATCATTCGCTATTTCTCCGGCTTCGATCACATATCGAGCCACATGTTCGACAGTAGATTCCGTCGTATCCCCTGAGAATTTCGTAAATTTTGGTACTTTCGTCCTAGGGGGTAATTCTGTTTGAAGGATGTAATCTACTATCGGGGATGTAAAGTTTGGTCGAATAAAACCAGTGTTTACTCAATTCCGAGCCATCATCCTTTCGACCATGGCCGCTAGATTGTTATCAATGGCTATATTATTGCGTCAAACTTCTTGGACCACATGATCTGCATCCTGGTTTCGGTTTATCACGACCACTCCTTGGTTACCTTCGTCTAGAACATGGACCTGGTTCGTTTGGTTTTCTCTTACCGCCTCAACTACGGGAGGTTCGACTCTAACCTGATTTTCTAAGTGTATTTCCCTTGCGTTTCTTACGTCTTGTCGAGGGACGTTCGCCATTGTGTTTTAATTTCTGGGTCCAGGGGGTACTCCCATAAACTCAGCCAACAGCATCAACTGCAGCGTCAATTGTTGGTTGGTTTGGGTGGTGTTATGGATCAATGGCT